AAAAAAAAAAAACATTCCATAAAAATTTCATTGGGAAAATTGGGTTTTTTATCAAAATTTGAGAAAAAACAGAAATTCAAAATGGCGACTTTGAGGTCACATGACTACCTAATTATGCAAAATAATACCAAATATCAATGGTCACATGACTACCTAATTATGCAAAATAATACCAAATATCAATGTTCCTCGCGTAGGCCAACCTATTGCTTGCCCCAACACACAAAAAGAATTTCGAAATAACCTCTTTTAGTATTTTTTTTGAATTATTTTAAAAATTAACTTTTTTCGTTAAAAAAAGTCCCAGCACAGGGGGTGCATATACCTACAGCAGTGAAAGGGTTAAAAGAGGCTTCACAAGTATTTACTTCAAACCTAAGTTCTACCTCCTTGGAAAGTTCCTAATTTGAAAATATTTTGCATACATACTTGTGCTTGGCTCTCTGAACTTGCTGCTGATTCTCCCTTATTTTGTTTCTTCTTTTTCTTCTTTTTTTTCTTTGATGCAACATGACCATCAGTCGTTGTGACATTCGTTGGCTCTTGAATGTCAGCAGTAGCACCGGTCTCCTGAATTCCTCTTGGCACGGTGTCCTCCGTCGGCTCCACCTTACTGCTACTTGTACTAGCTTCCTCACTCATCATAAAGAATCTGAGAGAAAGCAATAAGAAAACCTTAAATGAAATAAGATTCATAAGGTTAAATTGCACTTCAATTAGAGTGATTACTTTAATAATATTAATAATATCTGTAATAATAACAGCAGCAGCAAACAGTAGCAAACAATAATTAATAACAATACCGTAAATGCTTAATTAAGCGCTTTTTTTATATTTGACATTCCAGCATCTTTTGGTCATTTTCTCTGAAACACTATTTGCGACCAATGATTGGTTTTGCTTGTCTTTGCCACATATACTCTCGATTAAGCGCAGCGGCAGTAAGCAAAAAAATCAGGTTTGGTGCAGTGCTTATTAGAGAGCGGCGCTTTTCATGCATTTACGGTAGTAACCATAATAACAATAATAATCATTTTTATAATATGTCAACCTTCTTAGCAATACATAGCATAGGTCCAGAAATGTAATACTGTAATATCAATAAGGTTTAATTACTGTTTGAGGTTTGCATGGCGAAGTAATAGCATATATGTTGAAGCTTGCGGTACACCGCGTGCAAGGTGTAAAGTTAAATTCCACTTTATTCCACCTTCCTTCCCATCACCAATGCAATACAACCCTTTGACAACTCCCGAAATAACGCCCTCCTTCCTGTCAATTGTTGCACCTCCCGCTTTGAAACCCATTTCTTCCATATCCCTTAGCCTTGCATACATCGTCGCTCACATCATGAACTAACACAATCAAAGTAGATTCTGTTAGTTCGTGAAATCAAAAAAGCACGTCAAAATACGCGCTGTTGTTGATAAGGACTTTTTGTGTGGTAAAGAATATATTGCTTGACAACCACTGATGCGCTCGTTTTGACGCGCTGTGATTTCACAAACTAACACAATCTACTTTGATTGTGTTAGTTCGTGATGTGAGCGACGACATGTACTCACTGTCTATTGACCCATCCACAACCTCCCTATCCCTTATCAAGTTCTTAACAAGTAGACCAATATTACCTCACCTTTACAGACAGTTCATACACCTATCTTGTAAAATAATTTATTGTAATCTGTATTGCATTGTACATTAATATTGTTAGTATACTACTACTGATCTCAGTGGGTCCATTAACATAATCATACACTTTTAATATGTCTGTGACATTTTTTTTTTCATATTAAATGCCAGTTGAGATGGTTAAAAAAAAGTTGGCAATCCATTGGAAATGTAGTTTCCTTCAAATTTGTACAGCATTATTTTTGCCAGGTTTCCTCCTCAGAAATCTATTATTAAATGGTCATCCTAACCAAATTAGGTGTGAGCTCAGAGATTCCCTACCTCATGACCGTACCACCAGCTTCTCTGGGAACCTACTAACTTCCCCCACTCACTGCCCCAGCCTTAGTGGTGGGTGAATACACCTTGTCCACGAATCAGTGGTGAAGGCCTAGAATATTCTATTAAGAACATTTTCCAGAAAAAAAAAATGTGATACAACCCTCCGTTAGGCCACACAGAATAAAATAATTGGTTAGCATCCCCTCCCTACAATCAGAGAGGCCACTGACCCGAATTTTTAATTTTTTTTTTAACATAACACTCATAAACTCTATTTAATATATGTTTCTTTGTAAACCCGTCAGCACGCTAGCCAGATCACTTGCAGTTCTATGCGCTACTGCTGTTCTATACTTTAGCCACATGGCATCCATGATGCCTGCTGTGTTGGAGTGAATTGTGATTATACGTGATTATATAGAGATAAATGCATTACGACTGTTATTCATTGGTAAAGTGCGTGCTTTAGAATAATTACATAATTTCTTGTATGCAATTTTGTTTCGGTCTCTGTTGTTTTCTTCTTTGTTTTGCTGTTTTTCCTTGCGACACTCCATTTTCATGTTCGACGCGAGAAAAGAAAAAAAAAAGCCTCCCTTCCTACCATGACATTTGATAACATAAGGATGAAACCGATTTAAAAAAAAAATTTACATGGCCTTATACTGAGATTTTAAAATAACATGAGGACAAGAATTTTGCCTCAAAGCTTATCTTATATTTGTTGGTTGCGCACCAAGATGTCTGATTCGTGGAAAAGGCGTATGCAAGCTTAGAGCTAGGCAGGAAGGAGGACCTACCTAACCTATCCCACAGCCAGTCCACACCTAGCTAGGGCTAGGGCCTAACAAAAATTATGAAATCTCTGGCTCTGCCACTGCTCATTGAGTCTAGGCCTAGTATGTAGTAGGCATAGGCCCCTAGATAGGGCTTCTGGCCACAATATAGCTATCTATAGCCTAAGGCCTCTAAGCCGCTTCTCTAGGCGCAGACTAGCCTAAGCATAGACGCCAGCTAGTAGCCTCAGCATTCTGTTGGCTGTCGTCACACACCAGCTAGGGCTTGGGTCTTCCAAGGAAGCCAGAGTAAGCCTAGGTTGTGACTGTGGGTGAGTATGTTGTGGTGGTGGGTACTGAATTGTTGTATACATTTACAAACATCTAGGATCGGTTTGTCGCTTATATTACACAGAACAAGTGAACAGAACTATTTCATAACAAAATAAATACCTATTAGTATTATAAACTGACCATACCTATATTTGAAATTTGCAATTCTAAAGCAAATATGTGAATTTAAAACACGTTACAACTTCCTGGAGACCCAAACCATTCGCACACCCCTTGCGTACTAGATCGCCATCTTTAATAGTCTTGCAAAACATTTGCAAACATTGAGTATTATGTAATTTCACCAAATTCTTATACGTCAAAATAATATACATTAAAAAATAATTTATATCAAAATAGTTTTAATTTTATTCTAAATTTATTTGTATGTGTAAAGATACAAAATACAAAATATAATATTATAAAGTATTACATTTGGGTCTTAGAAAGCGCCACCTATCAGTTTTCCATCATTCATCATCATGTGATGGACATATTTGCGTGTAAAATAAATGTGATAATTAAGGATACATCACACAGTTTGTGACATGAAATTTTAGAGTAACAGAGCATTGTAGTTGCCCTCGGCCCTCTACTAAGATATTTAAAATTTGTATAAAAAAACAATACCATACCATTATTATATTAAACCGGGCCTTAATACTAGTAGCCCCTTCTTTTCTCATTACAATTGTACCGATGTATTGAGTAATACGTGCATTTCTCCATATTTTAATCGACAGTGATTACATTTATTCATTAGACCTACTCAATAGTTCATTCGGTTATTTATTCGTTAGTCGTTCATGCGACCATTCCATTGGGTATTTATTCATTCATTCATTAGGCCATGATGCAAATACAATTCATGTATAATATGAAATTAACAGAATAATAATTAAAACAACATAGTTTTATGTGTTTTCAATATTATTTCATGATGCGCACATTAAAGACCAAATTTGTTTTTAAATATCGAGCTTTCTATTGGATGGATTAATGGTTAATGGTTAATGGTTAATGGTTATTAATTTATAGAGCGCAAAATACAAAAAGTCTCTAAGCGCTATCAGGCAAGTGTAAAGATGGAACGGAAACCAAAACCACAAAATAAAAAGAAGTGAAATTTGAATACCATGCCAGCACCCAAACCGAAGTATGGGGATACGCCCTCATCGCTGGCTAGGGTTCAGTCAGCACCTGTTGAGTCTCGGCCATCTCGGATTCGGGCGCCTCCTATCCTAGTTCAAGCTATAAAAGCTAGCTGGCAAGGAAATAGAAAAAATAAATAAATTAAAGGGACGAGAATAAGTGGGTCTTAAGTCGTTCTTTGAAAATGGTGACAGAAGGTGACTCACGAATAAATAAAGGTAACAAGTTCCACAACTTGGGCCCAGCAACCATAACGATCGCTCCCCACAAGACTTTAACCGAAAGGATGGACAATAAAGATTGGTTGAGTCAGTTGTTGACCGGAGGGAACGAGTGCAAGTTGCAGAACGAACCTTAATTAATTCGGAAATGTATTGTGGTGATAACTTGTGAATTGATTTGTAAACATATAAAAGTACTTTGAATTCCGAATACGCTGTTTCACTGGCAACCAATTAAGACGACGAAGAGTAGGGGTGATGTGATGGAATTTAGGTGTCCCAGTGACAAGACGAGCAGCGATGTTCATCAATAGCTGCAGCTTTCTAATTGATGTTAATGGTATTCCGTAAAGGACTCCACTACAATAATCTAATCTTGATGTAACCAATGCATGTACAAGTTTTGACGTAGCATCTTCATTTAAAAAACGCCTAATAGTACCGTAATGACTTAAAATTAAGGGTGCATATGGTGGGTTAGAATCCTATATGAATGTACAAAAAAAAACAACAAACAAACAAACAAACAAAAAACAAAGAAAAAGAAATGTCCATGGTGAAATGAAAAAAGTGTCCTTTTAATAGCGGTTATCTGTGGCCATTTGACACATTCAAAATGTGTCCCCCGTCCCCTTAATAGGGGTGTTTCCTTAATAGGAGTTGGCCGTAGTGTTAAAAGATATATTTCTCCTCGTTTCACGGAAAATGTCCCCTAAGGAGGGGTTCTATACTGCAGTGTTCATTTGTTCGTCGTTCACTATTCAACCATACAATTATTCATTTATTCATATTCTTTATCATTCAGTCATTCATTCATTGATAACTTATTCATTGATTTATTCATTAATTCTTTAGTCAACAATTTCGTTCGTTCGTTCATTCATTCATTTTTTATTAATTTGTTCATTCATTCATTCATTCATTCATTTGTTCGTTCGTGTATTAATTACAGTAATTAATGAATTACTTCATTCATCATTATTTCATTTTTTTTCTTTCATTTATTATTCAATAATTTCGATTGTTCATTTATTTTTTTCGTTCATTCGATCGTCTGCATTAATTTGTTCATTCATTCATTCATCCAAGTTTGTTCATTTGTTGATTCGTTCGCTCATTCATACATTCTGTTCCATTCCTTCGTCCGTCCGTTTTTTATTTATTTATTTATTTTTATTATTTTTAATAAATTATTGGTTCGTTTGTTCGTTCATTCATATTTTTAGTCAATTAAATATTGATTAGAGATTATATTTGGCAACCCGGGGTGTGGTTGAATGCTTCCACCAAAAATTGTAGGAACAGTGTAGCGATTGTATGGAAGCCGAGTTTCATCTTATTACCTGTCTCTTATACACATCTAGATGTGTATAAGAGACAGATATAATTACCACTAAGTTTATATACTGTATATTTGTAACTTTATGTATTTATCTTTATGTATCTTCCAAGTTCTGTAATAAAAATAGCCGATCTGGCCGGTGCGGTTCCAACCACAGTTTTAATCTTCGAATATACATTTTTTAAAAAATGGGAAAACCATTTCTACTCTTTGTGTCCTACCCGGAAATGACGCGTAACCCATGATTGATGTCATCAGCAGCAGCCAAGGCCTAGCCATTGCTCCGTGTGGTGTAAAGAAAACAAAGCGACTGTAATAAATACAGTAGATTTTCAAACTTTTTACCGAGTTGACGTTGTAAAAAAGGATTCCAGATGTATTGGAGTACAACTATATATTTAATACCTCTGGTTACTTGTTGGTTGATAACTGAAGTAAGTTTCCATGAGATGAATTAGCCAATCATATTAATGTTTTTGTGATTGTGTATTGAATTGAAGTAGGACATTTGCCTGCCTGGCAACAGGAAGGGCTAGGCTAGATAGTCAGTAGTGTGTACGATGGGCCTACATGGCCTACATGAGTACGCCTGTCCCTGTGTGTTGTGTTTCCTCCTATCATAACAACTCCTTGCTTTAACCTAGGCCTAGCCTGATAGTTTATATATTAAGATTAGATCAAAGCCTAATTTTAGGCAAAATCTGTGTGAAAATTGGCCCTATTTTCCAAAAATGCGCAGACGGATTTCTAGGCTAAATTTTGCGTAGCGGATCTCCTCGCAGGCCTACCTAACTGTAGGCTAGGCCTAGCCTGGCCTCTAGGCCTAAGCCTAGATACATTATTTATTTCTTATATTTTACTAGGCCTACACACATTGCTTACCATACGCTATGGGGATCTAACCGACTCCTAAAATCAGAAAAGTTGTGCTAACAATTAATTATCCCTGTCAATGGTTTTGTTTTTATAGGTTTCAGGGAGTGAATGTGGAGATGGGTAGTAAGTATATGTGTATTTTCTTTTGTTTAATTTTTGCTTTCTAGTCAAAACGGCAATAACCAAAACAGCAATAAGTAAAAACGGCAATAACAAAACGGCAACACATTTTTACCAGAACGGTAATGGGCCAAAACGGCAATAAGTCAAAACAGCAATAAACCAAAACGGCATTATACCAAATAAATAAATAAAGAATATAGAAGCAGTAAACATTGAAATAAATAAAACTTTAAAATACAGACAAAATGAGGCTAAAACACTTTGTCATAAATAATAATAGTAATAATAATAATAATAATAATAATAATAATAATAATAATAATAATAAATAACAACAACGATATAACAACATACAAATTCAATAATACAGTTGAACTTGCCAAAGTCGAATCCAAAATGTGATTGAAATATTGTTCGACTTTGATAAAATTTGACTTACAGATTGTTAATTAATGGAAAACACAACAATTTGCCATGTAAAATAAGATTGACTTAGAAATTATTCGAGTTAGGCAAGTTTAACTGTAAAAGGATTGGGGAAATATAAAAGCAGTAAACGTTCAAATAAATAAAATTTAAAAATAGACAAAATGGGGCATCCAAACAATTTCTCATGAATGTGGAAAAAATTTAAAAAAAAAACCTGATTAAACATTAAAAGCGGGAAAAAAAGCCCATGGGAATATTTGATTTACCTACAGACGATCGGGCCAATTTTGCCTATTATTGCCATTTTGGTTTATTGCCATTTTGATTATTGCTGTTTGGTCATTGCCGTTTTGGTTTAGGAAGTGATTATTCACACAGTACTGTGCGAATAAGTTTTTATTCGCAGATGCCAAAGAAGTTGAAATCCACCGTGCGAATAAGAACTTATTAGCACGGTACCATGCTAATAACCGTGCAAATAGGAAGTTATTCGCACAGTACCGTGCGAATAACCTCTTCCTTTGGTTTATTGCTATATTGACCTGCTACCATATTTTTTTTTCCAGCTGTAATGATTATGATCAATATTGCTGCGATAATTTTGAATGCTGTTACTATCCCAACTACAGTTACTGGAACCTTTGGTATTTCTGGTAGGTTTACAATTATTTTTAAAAAGTCTGGCTTCGTCCATTCTTTAAACAGATTTCAAGTGTTGAGCTGGTGTTCCACTAGGGGAATTTATTTGTACGAAGCACAAGTACGAGTCCTTTTCACTAGATTGATAGTTTTCTGTTTTTTGGTGGTTTGCTTCGGCAAATTTTGGAGTTTACTTTTTTTACTTTTTACAATGTGCAGCCAGTCAGAGTTCGCAAAAAGATCTTATCGCGCCCATGATCACAGAATCGAATCAGTGATTTACGTGTCAATATTGCACACCGACACATCAATGACAATGCAGTAGCAATAAATTCGGCTAGTGGAAATTCAAATATTAATGTACTAAAATTAAAATATGACTTTTGAAAGTTGGGGGCCTCCATCGGCTACTTAAAAAAAAATATATAGGGCCTAGACGTACAGTAAATCTAGGGCTCATAACTCACCGCATGCATTTTGGTTTTGTAAAATGGGAAAGAGTAGATGTGATGATGTGGTCTCAAATTTGATGAATGGATGTGATGATGAGGTCTCAAATGCATTGAAACTTAAACAATACTGTATGTATTTGGGGTGCCCCTTAAGAAAAGAAATTTAAAGATTTTTGCATCTGTCGGGTATCAGCATTTTGCCTTAAGTATTGGGCTAATCATTTATTTTTTTTTTCTACTATGAAAGTGTATTTTTAAATGTTTGCTATTTTAGCTCTGACTGATACTATAATAGAAAAACACTACAGTAGGCTTCAACAATAGTTACCCTGGCCTTTGGACTCCATTAGTAAATAATGTAGTCTTTTAAAATGCAAGGCCATAGGTCATCCATGAATTCTGTTATCTTCCTCACTTGGTACTTTATTGAATTTAAGGCCAAATAAATCAGCAGTGTTTCTATTTAAAGTTCTTGTTTATTTACCTCTAGAAGGCCAGAACAACAGATAGTTGTACTTCATTTTTGCCTTGCAGTGTGCACATATACCTAAATACAGTACATCTCTAGCCCTACTTTAGGCCAAATAAAATTTTTTTGGGTGAGGGTTTACTATTTGCCTTTTACTATCCTATATATTAATTGTAAACAGGCCTTTAAATAGTATCCTAAAATGAATCTTTGTAATGTATTTCTGCCATTTATGTTCCCATCTCTTCATAGGCTTGGCATCATTCTTTCAGATAGTCATTATTTTTGTTGTCCATGGAAAAATTAATGTTTTTTTTGAAAAACATAATTTTTTCATGAGGCTCCAAAATTTGATGACGGCTAGGACATAAAACTAGCAATTAGTTTTATTTGGCCTTACCTTGAGTGGCTTTTAATCTGGTTTTGGATGAGTGAAATGTCATGCCAGTAAATTTCGACTAAATATTTACTGTAATTTGTATTGAAACCGGACAACCCAGTCTGTTTTCACTCTTTTTCCTTAGCCATCATTTTGGTTGCACCAATCAGTGCATGACAGTTAAACATCTGTTTTCTCAGTACATTCACAACAATTTGTTACTTGTATTTGTACATTTATTCATGCAAATTGCCAACACAAAAAGCGTGGATGGTTTATAATTAAAATTAGCCAACTAAAATCTATACCAAGCACTAGATCCCTGGTTTTTAATTAGTTTGTTAAAGGGGTCACATATTTTCTTGAGTTTAGCTCACGGGTCAACGATAATATCTGAGTCATGAAGCAACTCGTTATAAATGCTTTTAGTAATTTCAAATGATATTTTTTATTGTGCTACACCCCTAATAATATTAGGCAATATTTAATGAAATAGGCCTGTTATGATATGACCAATCGTAACATAGAATTTTAAATAAAAGTAGATATAATAATCATGGAAAAGGGCTTTCTGAGCACAAAAGTACTGTAGAAGTGCAGACGTAATAATAAAATAATTGCGTCCTTCCTTTTGGCGCTCCTTACCGGAAATAATATTGCTGCTCCTTGCCGGATTATTAGCTGATGAAGCCATATATCGTTATATACAGTAGAACGACAAGGAAATAGGTGTGATATTCATAGGCCAAAAGAGCAAGTATGTTAAAAAGCGATTTCCTGTTTTCTTTCCTCTATTTCTTGTGCCAACCCGGATGCAAAATTTTAAAAATTACGTTTCTACAAAGCTTCACCAGTATTTTTAATGCATCAAGTGCTAATCAGTCAATTTATTGGATAACGCTTTTGTATCATCGGCACACCTGTGTCGTATAACCTTACAACGGCAAGACAATAATTAATTCATACAGAGCAAAGAAAAAAAAAAAGCAAAATTAAAAACAAATAATATGTTCTACCTTATACAGTATAATGAACTTATATAAACTGATGATGGGAAACTATGAGGAAAAATACATCGGAAAAATAGCTGGAGGAAAATAGCCGGAGAAAAATAGCCGGGAAGAAAAATTCTCGAGGGGGAAATTAGGTGCCAAGTGCATGCATTCAGACCCAACATCAAAATTTTCATCTTGTACGCAATAGGAGCCATATTCACACCCGTCCTGTGACCGTTTCTTAAATGATTTTGGTGGCTATGGATGTGTATCAATATCTCCCTTAAAGACAAAATTCCTTCGACAGAGCACCTAACCAAACTAGGGATAGAGGAAAAGAGGACGTCTTAGATTGTTTAGACATGTGAATGTCGTGGGACCTACAGTAGGAGTAGATGTAGGCCACAAAACACATGGAAAGAAGCAAGTAGTTTGTGGGGACCTGATGGTCATGGGATTAAAAGAGGAAGAAACACTTAACAGGGATTCATGGAGAGCTGCTACTTACAGCAACCCAGCCAACCCACATGAAAATAAGGCCGTTAAACGGAAACGACAATGATGAATAGTTAAATTTGCTGAACAGGACAGTCTGCTCAAGCATAATAAACATATTATGAGTAGATGTCTAGTGATTTATTTATAGAATCCATTTGTAGCTGGTTATAATGCTTCACAGAGCCAACATGCAGCAGGGAACAATGTATTGAATAGAATCAATATTTGTTGTTTAACATTTCTTTGTGTTTGCTTAGTGGTGTGTTGTGATGCTGAAAGGAATGGTTGAACTCAATAGTTAAACCGAATAACATTCAAGTCTGTATTTCCTGACTACATTGTCATGACAATATTGGCTGTTGCGCCATTAAAATTGTTCATGCTTCTACCAGACTTTTACTACTGTCTATGTATCTTTTTCATTCTTTGAGAAAAAATAAAACAGCTGAAAATAACCGGAGAGCAATATCTTTTCAACTAGAGTTAAAAAAAAATAAATCTAGCGTGTTCCGTCTTGCGACATTACACTTTCCATGATTTGTTTCCAAAAAAAACTGAACTAAACTGAAGAAATATAAAGAAAAAATCAAACAACAGGAGCCAGTAACACAGTCACTGCTCCAAATCTGATCAGAATTTTAAAGCATCTTAGTGTGAACTTACTTGCTGGTTTATAACTCAAAACAGGAGCTCAAAAGATGCTAGTATCTGATAATTACTGACTAACCTATTGAGGTACAAAATTAAATTATGCTAGGCTACATTAAAAAAGATGTGAATTTAACAAAAAATAGACAATCCCAGATGACAATACCATCAGATGTATTCAAATAATAAAGAAAGCTGTGTAGTGAGAAGGTGTGATGGATATTACCAAAATAATAATGATTATTTTCAGGCCCAGCATGCCCCTCCCCCCCCCCTTAAATTAAAAGGAAATAAAGATAAAAGAATGTTGAGGTGGTCTACATCCTCCACCTGTGAAAGTCCCTTCCTAGGCCCCCTCTATCTTCACTGATGTTGTAAACTCTTTGATATTTAACCTTGTCTATTTAAATCTCCAGGTTTGTCCTAATTTTTGTATTGATGACATGTTTCGGAGGATGTGGTTATTACAGAAGAAGGCAAGTCTATCTCCAAACAGCCAGTGGTCAGCGCATACCTGTGGGACAGACAACATATCTGACGTCCGGTGTGCAACCTGTCCACCATCCTTACCAACCCACGGCTGCACCTGTGGGTACATTCCAGTCACCGCCACCATACAGTGAGGTAAGGGCATGTTGGTTTTTGTTGCACCCTTTGAAGCATGGTAATAGGGAGGATATAGAATGTAATGACGTCATCTGGGCACGCGAGTACGTTAAGTTCTCGTCACATGGATTCTAGGACGCAATTTGACCAAATCTATGTATGCAGAGATCATAGGATGCCCAGTAGGACAGTCACGCATGAGTGATTCCATTCTAGCCTCGCGCCGCCGAACAAATCAAAAGGTCCCTGATGTAGTGCCACTGAACACTGCATTCTGCAGTGTATATAGGTGCTTTACAACTTATTGTTGATTGATGGATTGATTGATTGATTGTGGGTACCAGGTTCAATTTCATTAAAGCTGGGTCATTCCATGCCAAATCAACTGAGCCATGGAAGTCAGCATTTTCAATTTTGTTTAAATATTCATTTCTCCTTGTGTTTCAGCAAGGTAGAGGGCTGTAATACTAGGTAATAATAGTCATAATCTTTCCAGGGGCTAGTTTTTTATCCTGGGGGTGTGAAATTTGAGAATGTAGAACTGGAGGGGGGGGGGGCGGGGGCTAAAATTGAGATTGCAGAAGTAAATCCTTATTCCAATGAAAACTTAATGGTCATTTTTAGTTTAACTCATGTCGTGAAACTAGTTTGCTATCATGGGAGGTGCTTGCAGTAAATATTTTAAAACTCTGGTCTGATGTACTTTACTAATGTAGGAGGGAAAGAAGTGAAGGAAAAGACAAGTGGATAGAAAGAATAGAAGGATGAGAAGTGCAAGGAGTTAAAAGTGTATAGAGAAATTTGGAACAAATTCTCTTGAATGGTATTAAAATTTTGTAAATATAAAATTTGTGTACATTAGGATGTGTACAAATAGTACAAATAAATAGTTGGTTTAATTGTCTATGTGCCTTTGAGCACCTTTGGTAGAGATGTGTGCTTTATAAATCTTTATTATTATTATTATTATTATTATTACAGTATTATGAATAAATTTTTGGAGTGACATTCATACTATATTGTGTATGCAAGTAAATTTGCACAAGCTCGTTTACTGTAGTAGCTACAAAACAAATTAAATTTCTTTGAAGTTTCACCCTTTTTTTTCTTTTTCCTCAGGTAACATCAAAGCCGAACTTGTACCCAAAAACAGGAGATGCAGCATATCCCCCCCAAGCACCTTACTATCAAGGCCCATATTACCAGTTCCCAACAGCTGCAACAGAATACTCCAACCAGCCCCCTCCCGCATATATTCCCCCACAAACTAACACTACTCCTCAAACAGAGAATGTCTCTTAAAATACTCGCTTAAACCAAGGTTTGAGAAAAAATTTTTTAGTAAATTTTAATGTATTGTTAATTTGAAAGCAACACATTAAGTTGGACGAAATTATGCATTAAATGAAATGCATCCAAGCTTTTTCTGTAGATGTGATTGTATTAATTTGAATTTGAATAACCTATAACAAAATATATTCTTCTTCTTACTGAAACTTCAGTTCTGGGGAAAAGACATAATTACGATTTTCATAGAATTTTACTTTAAACCGTTGCATGGTGAATTTAAAATGTAATCAATTTTAACACCACACACTGTAGGTAGTTGTAACTGTCATTTTGTTGAGAATACCTTTCAAATACAGATGTATCATAATTATATATATTAATCACTGATCGTAAAACTTAATTATTTTAATAAGTGACATTTATAAAGCGCTCTACGCCAGCAAACCGACCCCAGAGCGCATACAATCATCAAATTTAAACAACAACAGAAGATGGAAAAAGAATTTTATTCAAAACATCTAGATATTCTCAACAAAACTGCAATTATGTACATTGTATACTTCAAACATTTATTAAATTTACATTTGAATTATGATATTAAACCTTTTCTAAATGTTCATTTAAACAAATGTAACTTTTTCATCAGAATATGCATTACAAATATGATTTTCATCAAATGTTTCCGGTAACTGTAATAAACAATGGTTGTCTTTCTGGAAGAGCGCTTTTTATTAAATGTAAATGGGTTTTAGATATTTGGACAAGTTTTGATAATAGATTTTCACAAAGCTAATATTAATCAGTTTCATGTAGGTGATCTTTAATATATAATCCTTACAATTTAATATCCAAGGTGTAGGTTTAATTATCCAAACATTACTAGAGCAGCATTCCGCGAACTTTTAGACTTAACAGCCCATTTAGTTGTGACCCACTGGCCTCTTATTCACAGAAGCATAATTCGGGAAGAGCTAGGCCTATCATGCTTACGTAATGCAACACATGTTCAATTTCAATGTATTTCACCCACCCTGGTTTTACTAAACCTTACATTATACAGTCAAGTACTGAATATTATTACAAAATAACGTGTTTCCATCGATTAATGCCGATATTATAATGTTAGTGACCGAGAAAGCTATCTGATTTTTTATGAGTTCTGTCAAGTTTGTGATCGACTAAAATATTTTGGCAACCCACTGGTGGGTCGAGACCCACAGTTTGTGGAAAGTTGTTCTAGAGGTGGATTAATCTTAAATATACACAATTATAAAAGTTAATGATGCAAAATTCTTTGGAATTATTAAATATGTAATCGTCATCTTACAGCCTGCTTATTTTTATCTAATGCATGTAATTATAATTAAACCATTTTGATGTACTGTAGTTGGTGTTAGATTGTCCGCCAATGTAATCTGTTAACAATGTATATACAATTTGAAAGTACCCTGTAAAATCCAGTAACAGTAGTTGTGGATTGTTAACATGTAATTATTGCTGGCATGCCTGACTACTAGGTATATAGCTGGTAGGTGAAATGTACATACAGTACAAGTATGAGTGTGGAGGATAGCATTGAGACATGTAGTTTAATAATTGTATACAATATGCTTATTATTTTACGACTGCTCTACCTTTTTCCGCTTTTTTTTAAACAGTATTTGAGTGAAGTGGCGATGTGGCTTGGTGGTTAAGATGCTTGCCTTCCAATCCCAGGGTCCTGGGTTCAAATTGCTCACAATTAAAAACATCTCCACTCCCTAAGCCTTGTAATGAGATTTCGCTTATAAAGCATCACATCATTTCATTTATTTAAGAGGGCTCCTAAATATCAGCCGACATTCAAGGATACATTGGAAAGGTCACTCTATATACACTGTTTGGGGTGTTTGCAATTGGGTTTATTTTGGGCGTATTCCTTATTGGAAAGCTTAAAACAAATGTTTTGTGAGGTGAATTTGCTAAGGAAGTAAGCGAAGCAAGTATGTTTGATATGAACTAGACGTGAAAAAATGGAGTTTGATAATTGTAAGATGGACCATGCTTTAATGATGTGCTATCAGTACTAAAATAATTTGTAGGAAATAGATTGTATATGACCTCTCTTAAGTGTATATTAGAGTGTATGAAAACATTAACCTACTTCCTTCAAATTGTAGAATACTAAATTATATGGTAAGTATGTATTAATTCTAGTCTACTCTATTTTACTTGACATTACAGATTGCACAATTGGAATCGTCGACCTGAATGGTAAATTGATTTTACTGACTAAAATAGAAAATCCCAATTCAAAGCAACAGGCTTTTAAATACCGTCTCCCCTATTGTTTTTTTATAATCCATTATACTCTAATAATAATGTTATAAATGCTACTACTACAGTCTTGTAAAAAGAACTAAATCTGTACACCATAAACAAACTGGTAAATACAAACACGCCATATTTTAATAAATAACAAATAAATTACTTCCAAATTTGAATTGTGATGCTATTGCGTTTGATGTATTTTGATTCTTAACAACTGATTATCATTAAGTTTTCCAATGATTTTGGATATTATACAAGTTTGAAACTAATAAACAGTGTCCACACTCAAATTTTAGGTGACAATCATTCTGTGATATGCCCATATTTGAGTGGTGTACAGAGCTGCAAATTATACATTTATTTCGGCCATGATTGTTCTTTTGATTATATATAAGCAAAGTCAATAAAATAGACATTAATGTAGATTTGATTGTTGTCGTTACTTCAGTTTTTGATAGCAACTGCATAGATGATCTATATAATTAGTACTATAATACTGTACTGTACCCACATGAGAAAGATGCAGATTTTTCCCTAAATACATAATATGATGTTCTTATATAGCGCTTCATGCCTTTACGAAGCCTCTAAGCGCTTCACATTACTACCCCGGTCATTGGATCAAACACATATGGAACACCAAATTAAATTATTAAATTATTCCATAATATTGCAGCTAGTAATCAGCGCAGCTGTGTTGGAACCTACCAGGTAACCACTTGTGCTCCTGGGTGGAGAGGCCACCGTAGATAAAGTGCCTTGCTCAAGGACACAAGCGATTTGCACAGCGAGAGTTTCGAACCCCCGACCTCGAGGTTGGAGTCCAAGCCACAACCGCTTCTACAGACATCCATCGCATCCTCTTGGAAGGTGCACTGATTAAGAACAGTGTTCTTTGTAATGTATCCACGCAAGAAAAAAATGCACCTGATAAATAATATACAGAAATATGAATAATAAGTCTTTAGAATGCTGTTTCTCCTTCGTTTTGCTATGCAAATTAATCCTTCCCAAATATTAAGCGCCTCTTTTGTTGTTTCACAACAGTTATTTTGCACAAATTCTCGAAATTGTCAACAATTATGAAAACATTGTGTTTACACATTACAGAAAAAATGCTGTTTTCGCACTCATTTGTAGGTAATTATTTTTGATAAAAAGGGAGGTCATCTGTTTGCTTGCGAGCTCTGAAGTAGGCCTACATATCTACACAGCACTTATAATAATAATATTTTAGACTTATATAGCGCTTAATGCCAACAAGGCCTCTAAGCGTGTATTCCTTATATTTCTTGGGTATGCGAGAATAGCTCAGTTACTTCTGTGACTTCACCCGAAATAACTTTGAAGTACAGTAACTTCATACGAAGGGTGTCTTCATGGGCAGTATCTCGCAACTTTTTACTTGAAAATGGAAACAAACAATAAATAAGGCTTCTGAACATTTATTCAACAAAAATGAGACTAAACAGAGAGACAGACATTATCTAATAACTGCAAACACAGACACAAATGATAAAAATTATGTTTCACTAAAAATGCGAACATAACTCATCTAAATATCGCCATCTTGTGACTATGAGTTTGCTTAACATTTCTCGGAACCCATTTGTATTTTAGCCGGCTCATATTTTGAACGTACTGTACAAGTACATTAATGGAACCAAACAAAATTCAAATGGCAAGCATGTTAACATTGTTAATACTACAGAAAAATTAGACATCAATTGGATGCTAATCAAAGCTACAAATGTTCTTAAGAAACACTGATGATTGAACAGCTAAAGACATACTGTACTACTGTACACTACACTACTGTGTCTACCTAAAGATTAAATACAATACTTAAAGACAAAGACCACTCCAATACTGTACAATACAAAAAAATAAACAATACTTTTAATAACATAACAAAAATATCCCTGCCTGGTAAAATTTAAAAAAAAAAAAAGGGTAAATACTGTACAGTACACAAAATATGCTATCATAATAATAGCTGAACTTGTATATCGCATCATGCGAAAAAGTCTATGCGCTTGGTGATTGAGCTTGAGTTTGACATTTAGAAAAAAAAAAGGCTATCGGCTTCTGGTCTAAAACTCTCTTCCAAACTATCGCATTATCTTTGACAAAAACCACTGTATGTCCATATATAGTCATGATGTGCCTATATGGGGCATGCCATGCCAAAACCAACATCAGTAACTAAAACAAGAAAATTGACTTTTTAATATACTGTATATTCATTTTCATTTACTGGAATCGACTTACTATTGCCAAAGTTATCAGTAAAAGTTACGGCTTCTCTGAGTATGCTGGTTTGGGGATGGCGAGCCTCATATAAGGTCATGATGTGATGTCATCAATGACCATATTTATGCATGTCACGTTTTTGTCAAATACTATTTGATAGTCTGGGCTGGGCTTAAAGCTGAGCACACACTGTTCCAGATGGTTGTCAGCTGACGCGATTCCACGTGCCACTCCCAGGTCTGCAAGTGTATGCTACCTTCAGGCACACCTGATCAAATATTGTGTCTGATGGGTGGCGGAAGTATGGCAATGCTGTACTTCAAAATAGAAAGTCAAGCAGTATTTTTACAACACTTTACCCCAGTTTGCGTGTATAATATTCAATGCAGGCATGCAAATTTAAATTAGTGCTAAGGCGTTCAAATTCAAATTTGCTTTAAAGGTTGTTAATGAGCTGCTTTAAGTTAACAGTTTAATTCAAGCTCATCAACACATTTCATTTCACATTTTATTTTACGCATTTTTGGGAGACTAACAAAATATCTAAGCAGTTTCTCAAACTAATTACAGTACTTGGGTAAGGGTGTCAACCCATTATAGAATACGCTATTAATAAACTAGTGTACTTCTAACCTTCCATGAATCGATACAGCTGATGCTTCTTACATTTATTCACAAAATATTGATCAATGAAGTTTTGGAAAAAGACTAATTTAAATTGTAATTTTATTGATGATAAACATAGAGATTTATCATCAATAAAATTACAATTTAAATTGTAATTGTAATTTTATTGATGATAAAATATACACAGATTGTCTTTTAATGGATTAAGAAAACAAAACAATCAAATTACTTTTTGCCAGCTGATCAAAGCCAGTGTGAAGCACCATGTGTGTATTAAATGCAAGACTCAAGGATTTGTTTAAGTAGTATTTATCTGAATGGTTTGCTCCAGCACTGCTCGACGTTGCTGTACCTTACTGTAGAAGTAGCGGTACACCCCTTCCTGAGTCCATGGCGTGTTGTATGATTCAGATCTTCTTTCCTCCTCTGGGTTTCCGACGACGTCAGTCATTGTCTTAAGATTAAAAAAAAAAAAAGTATTAAGACTGGGGAGGAAACATTTTTTTGGGGAAAATATTATGAGAATCTGAGGCAGCACCAGCAGTGGTGTATCTAGAAGTCTTGAAATGGGGGTGCTGAATGGAAATGGCACTCTCAAACTGTAAAAAATGCTTTTTCAAAGCAGTGTTCCTGGAAAATAATTGGGATTCTTCCCCAACAGGGTCCAAGGTTCCCCCTAGACTCCCCACTGGTGCCACCATTGAAGAGAATGCTCATAGTTTTGTCAGCCTTCAATATCTCTCTTCCATTTGCATTAGTATGGAATCTGAGTGGCGCCCTCAATGTTTTAAAACACAATAAAATTAGCAATAGCATATAAATTCAATTCAACACTGCTTTAACTCCCTCTGGGGAACTCATGCAACAATTTTTCACATCAACTTGTCTTACTATGGGATCTGGGTGCCACCCTCATTCATGAAAACAAAAACAGCTATAACCTAAAAGTTTATCTGATAATTCATTCAATTTACTACAATTCTCTAATACTAGGCCTAATCATCTACTCATCATGCAAAACTTCTATTCAATAATTATATTGATGAGGTCAATTTATTTGCTGATATTGTTGAATAAAATTACATTTGGGAATCATTAACTTATCCGCATAACAATGTGGCTGAAGGGACAAGTGGAAAATTTCCATATTAACGAGCTAGTTCACAGAATGTGCTGCATGTAAAGACATAATATTTCTGTAATGCTATCAGCTTATTACTGATAAACTACCTCCCAGAACTTGCACTGTTTGGCTTCAAAATACTACAAATGACGCCAACTGACCGCATCCAGGTAGCCTTATGTAAGAAAGTGGTATTTGTTATGATGCTGTAGTCTCTATGGGCCTACAACTTCAAAAGGACAAAATCAAAATAATGGTATTAACTGTAATGGTTTTGTATTTCTAGGGTGCTTTCCACATCTAAGATAAGCTGTATAGCTAGACCTTGCACAGCCAAGGCCTCTTACGTACACGTCTTAAACCATGTGTTTGTCTTGCACTAATTCATGTTTATGAAATATTAAATGAACTGAAGTATTTTTATAAATCTATTTTGTAAATCCAACCAGTAATTTATCAGCATAAGCAGTACCTTGTCAGGTGTGATTCACTACCCAAATTTACTGGGGGATGTGGTGGGGGCATGGGGGATGTGGTGGGTGCATGGGGGATGTGGTGGGTGCATGCCATCCCACAAAAAGATTGCATAACCACTACAATCTCCTCTCCCTCACCCCCACCCCCATGATCCAGTACAGCAGTTAAGAATCACCTCATATCACCAGTTAGCATCTCATCAAATAATCAAAACACCTCATCCCATTACCCCTTCCCCTATCTTTTCAATGCTCCTAAGTATTTCCCTTCATCCTAATACGGCAACTTTAATCTCCAATCACATTCTGATTTTCAGGAAATGCAACTAATAAAATACCCATATCTGACACCTCCATCAGAGAGATAATGTGTTGAAAAGCATTTCACATGTTACAACAATTAACGGAATAATTAAATTAACAATTGAATGTCCTGTGACTTGAATCCCACATACAAAATGTATGCAATACTTACATAACTACAGTATTTTTTTTTTTTTTTTGGAAATGCATCAATAATGCATGAATAAACTGCCTAGAATGGATTTTAAGAATCTTTCATCAGTGATTTGAATCTTTAACAGGGCTGCTTTCATATGGATATATTTCTCAGAACAGAAAATCATGATAGTTTTGCCATCTAACAATTGATTTATTGTGTAAATAACAAAGTAGGACAAAGCAGGTTCATCAGATTTTACACTTGGGAAAACTTTCCATTTTAGTAAACAACTGGGCAATTTGGTTCTATAGGGGTACTCTAGCGACTCTTGACAAATTAAAACGGAATGCCATAGAGCAAGTCTCATATAGCTATGACCTTACTGGTGTTTAATCATAAGATGACCTACATGTGGGATCTTTAAAAAAAAAAAAAAAAAGCATACTTTGTCAAGTACAACTAGGCCGATTTTTTATTGAGATTTTAATAGTGAAATGTAGGACGAAGCAAGACACTGTGACGTCATTTTTCCCTGAACAACACTCAGTATTAATTTTACAATTAATAATCTCATTCTAAATATGTTATAAAAATAATAATATTCAGCTCATATTTTGATAGCATTTTACTAAATTATAGCATTGTTATAAAAATAATATTCATATATAGTTCTGATATTTATAACACTTTTAGAATGTTTAATATAATAATATTAAGTATATATTTTTATAACATTTTTCAAATGAGAAATAAGTTAAATATTATATATTATATTCAGTGTATATTTTCTAAACATATTTAGAATAACAAATACTTAAAATATGTATTAGAAATAAAGAAAGCACTGCTTAATAAATAGCACTGCCTCATCAAGATCATAGTGTATTAATCTTCCCAGTTAATTCAAGACATGTATTTTGAACCTTACTTATTGATGGTGAGATTTCCTGCTAACAGTATCATAGAAGGCTGGCTAAATTTCAAGGAAGTGGAGTTGAATAACTTGGTGGTCAAGACGCTTGTTTTCTCAATCCCATTGTTCAGGGTTTAATTCCAGTCACAAAAACTTTATTTAAAAGGTACCATCTAGTTACTTCCATGGAAGGTTTTAGGAGAATATGAACATTAATTAAATCTAGATGCTAAATACAATAAAAAATAAATAAATATATATATACATTTAGATATAGACATGTACCTTTAAATCTCTTGTTTGTGAGATAAGCCATTCGTTAATGAACACCTGCGGATCACGCGCAAAGCCCAGCATGAATTCACGTTGAATCTTCAGCTGATTGATCGTCTCTACTGTCTCATGAATCTAAGTTATCAAAATAAAAAATATGTCATTCACTTCTACCAAGATGGCAAAAAAGTTAACACTGAAAATACAAGTGATTAAAAGTTCTGCACATATTTATGAATTCACCAATGAATTTCTACCACATTATAATGAAACACTTTTTTTTGTTTTTAATTTATTCGTGCCCAATGACCAACCAATGGTCTATATTGCTTTTGTTGGTAGTGCTTCTGTTTGAATTTGAAGAATTTCCTAATAAATGCTTTATAATATTGAACAATGAATATTTGATTTGTTCAAGGAATTGTCTATCACTGCGTTTCAGCTGGATTATCCAATCAAGGGGAAGTCACCCGTCTTATGAACGAGGCCCTCTAGTGTTCAAAAACTAGGACTAACCTTGTTATCCAGAGTCTGAATGTCTTGCTGGCTGGCAGTGGAAAGTAAAAATGACTTCATCTGTTCTTTTAATGTATCATCCTGAAAATTACAGAAAAATGATGATTAATTGTCGAACTATATTTCATATCTAAAACCCCTAATGTAGAATTAGGGTGCTTGGAAACGAGTCAACTTCTGACATCCGAAAAGTACAATGATTTCCCACAGATCATGTTTCATATTTTAACGGTAATCATAATCTGATAACTTCATTTTCTAAAGATAAAAACATTTTTTTTTCATTTGAAGCATTTAAGATTCTATTTATATGTAGAGTAAGTAACAAAATAAAATATATAGTTCACTTCTTATAAAATCTGTAAACCTGCAATCATTTATGATATTGAATTTAGTTCTGCTGATTAACATTAATAATATTTTTCAAGCTGATTATTCAAATGACATAAAGGCTTACTATAGTAAGGGTTGTACT